CCAGGGTGTACCTGTGATGGACTGGAGACATGTCCAGGTGTCCCTGTGATGGACTGGAGACAGGTCCAGGGTGTACCTGTGATGGACTGAAGATCTGTCCAGGTGTCCCTGTGATGGACTGGAGACATGTCCAGGTGTCCCTGTGATGGACTGGTGACCTGTCCAGGGTGTACCTGTGATGGACTGGAGACATGTCCAGGTGTCCCTGTGATAGACTGGAGATCTGTCCAGGTGTACCTGTGATGGACTGGAGACATGTCCATGTGTACCTGTGATGGACTGGATACATGTCCAGGTGTCCCTGTGATGGACTGGAGACATGTCCATGTGTACCTGTGATGGACTGGAGACATGTCCAGGTGTACCTGTGATGGACTGGATACATGTCCAGGCGTCCCTGTGATGGACTGGAGACATGTCCATGTGTACCTGTGATGGACTGGATACATGTCCAGGTGTCCCTGTCATGGACTGGAGACATGTCCAGGTGTCCCTGTGATGGACTGGAGACATGTCCAGGTGTACCTGTGATGGACTAGAGACATGTACAGGTGTCCCTGTGATGGACTGGAGACATGACCAGGTGTCCCTGTGATGGACTGGAGACATGTCCATGTGTACCTGTGATGGACTGGATACATGTCCAGGCATCCCTGTGATGGACTGGAGACATGTCCAGGTGTCCCTGTGATGGACTGGAGACATGTCCATGTGTACCTGTGATGGACTGGAGACGTGTCCAGGTGTACCTGTGATGGACTGGAGACAGGTCCAGGGTGTCCCTGTGATGGACTGGAGACATGTCCAGGTGTCCCTGTGATGGACTGGAGACAGGTCCAGGGTGTACCTGTGATGGACTGAAGACATGTCCAGGTGTCCCTGTGATGGACTGGAGACCGGTCCAGTGTGTCCCCCACCTCTCGCTTAGTGATGGCTGGACATGGGCACCAGTGACCCCTGTGACCCAAGAAGGAAGAAGCAGGTAAAGATGATGGATGGATGGATGGATGGATGGATGGATGGATGGATGGATGGATGGATGGATGGATGGATGGATGGATGGATGGATGGATTACTTGTAATGCAATATCAAAATTATCTTCCCACTAATGCATGTATCGGTATATTTATCACAAAAATGTGACGTCACAGGTTCTTTAAGGACTCGAGCCTGGTCCCAGTCCTCCCACAGTGGCTGCTGGATAGGAGCAGTGACCCTCGCAACTCTGAAAGAAAGAAGCGGCTTCAAGATAATGGATGGAATTAGCAGCAGCTGTGACCTGCTTTTGGGCAAACAGCACTACTCAGGTGGAAAACCTGCACACAAGTGGGAGGGGGAGGCTGGAACACACTGGGAAAAATAAAGTATCTGTGAGATATTTTGCTAACACACAATGTTGACTACAAATTAGGAAAAGAAAAATGTTCAACAATGATTTAATGCAATCTGTTGAATTTCTGAACATGTGTTGGGAATCAGCCTCAGCTACCACCACACCAAGTTTTAGACTCATACTGGATGTGGCCTACATTCCTCTGAGTAGGTTCACACTGAGTTGACTGTGGCAGCCATCTTGACACCAGGTGACTTTAAAAGTTGATCAGTTATAAATGAACTTCTACTGATTAATTTCTGCAAGTTTCACTGACATTTGTCAAGTGGTTCATGAGATATTTCACTAACAGACAACACAAGCACACAGACATGGATAAATGCATGATCACCCGCCTCCCCGTCACAGAGGGTGATAATGGTTTTGCAGTTGCAGATATAAAGATGAGGAAGGAGCCGCATGTGGCCCCCGAACCGCGGAGTGTGGGTGGTGGAACCGGACACAGCGCGTGACAGAAGCGTGTTGCGTGCGTGTGTGTGTATGGGGGGGGGGGGGGGGGGGGCGCCGCCCACATAAGTCGGGAGAAAAGCGGGTGGGGTAAGAGACCGCCACACAGACAACCCGACCCGC